CCAAGCCAGCCAGAGCTGCTCATCGGCACCCCGCGCTTAATCACCTCCACGGCGCGCGAGAGGCGCCGCGTCTGTCTTGCCGAGCAGCGCGGCCGTAAAATGTAATCGAGCTCCTCGCGCGGCGCGGCGCGGCGGGGACTGCAGGACGGGCAGGACGCCCCGCCGCCGAAACGCGGTCCAATTTAACGCGCGTCGCGGCCGCGGGCCCTACACCGTAAGCCCCACAGTGTGGAGGAGCAGCGCCCCGATTTCCGCGCCGTTCTGTAAATTAGCGACGCCTACGACGACCAATAAAGTTGGAGCGCCGTCTCTCTCGCACTGCTGGGGCGCGCCGCGCGGTGCGAGGAGGACGGAGCGACGGGTGTTGGGAGTCGGGCCGCGGCGGTAGCGTCCTAGACGTCCCAGACGAGGGCGTGAATCAGGGTCGGGCCGAGGAGCTAAATGGGTGAAAATGGGAAGGGGAGCGTGGAGCCGAGCCGAGGGAGGCCCCTGCCAAGTCCAGGGTAGGCCGTCCCGCCGAGCAGCCGTGCGCCGCGGGTCTGGCCGCAGCGGCAGCAAAGAAGGAGGTTCTCGCGCCAAAAAGCGGCCGGGATGGCGGTGCCGCCGCGGGGAAAGCCAAACGAGCGTCGCAGACTCGTGCAGGCCTATGAATGGTATCGGCTGGACAATGCCGGCGGACTGCTTCGGAACGGCGCTCTGTCTCTCTCGCACTCGGGGGCGTGCCCTAGGGGAGCGAGAGAGACAGAAAGCCCCCCGTCCAGTCCACTGCAGGGCACTGCAGGGCAACGACGCCCTGCATGCCGTCGAGCGTGAGTCACGTGACGCGCACGACACGCGCTGCCCGGCAGTCCCATTGCGAATAGCGCTCGGCCGCTCTGTCTCTCTCGCACCCTCGCTGGGCCCCGCAGCAGTGCGAGAGAGACGGAGCGGCGAAAGCACTGCCGTCCTCCGCGACGCGCCGAGCTGCCGGCTCGCCGTGCAAATAACGCCTCCAGGGTATTGGCACGACGCGCGTCGCACTATTGGCACGACGCACTATTAGCAGCACGACGGCCGCGGGCTGCGTGGCCGTGCACGCCAGGCAGGGCGCCGCTGTGACGGCCGCGCACGCCGCCGCGTGACGGCCAGTGTCGTGTATACACTGTGTGTGGTGGACTCTGCGCGGGTTCGAATCCCGACGCCGCCGCTTTTTCTTTGCGATGCCTCATTCCTCGTCGGTGCTCTGCACATAATAATCCAGTTCCTAACGCAAAGCACCGCTGAGGTCAGCAGCCTTGACGCGAGGCGACGCGAGGTCCCGCGGCAGGGCGCGCGGAGCGGAGCGGACTCCAGACGCGTGGGGAGCGGACCGGTATGCCCACACGGAGACGAACTCTGACTCCGATGCCCCTCCCCTTCCCCCTGCGGGGCTCCCTTCCCGCCGCTGCTGCTTCGCGCCAGCAATTTCATAATGGCACGGTGGAATTCACGAAAGAATGTCCCGGGCGGCGCAGGTCTCTCTCGCACTGGAGTGGCCCAGTGGTGAGCGAGAGAGACGGTGAGCCGGGCGAGGGTCGATGAGGGGGAGGGCCCCGCCTCGTCGGCCGCCCCGCCCCGACCTTGGTCGTAGGTTCGGCGATGGACCGATGGCGGGCCTGCCCAGCGGCCAGCGGCACCGGAGGCCCCCACAAACCATGCAACGCCATTTTGCAGCAGGCGTCCGCGGCCTCCGCCCCCGCGGCGTGCCGACCTGTAGGCAGTGGTGTTGCGCTTCGCCGCTTCGCCTCGCCGCCGGCGATCGGCGCGCCGCTTGCCGGCCTGGCTGCCGGCCGGGCTGCCCACTCGCGACACGAGGTGGAAGGCCTGGAAGGCCTGGAAGGCCCAGCTGACCGCTGCAGCAGCCTGCTGTGACTCATCCCCGCATCTGCATAGGCCAGGGCCTCCGACTGATTCCGAACGGTGCTTCGCCGCTCTGTCTCTCTCGCACCCGCACGGGCCGCCGCACGAGAGCGAGAGGTAGGCGACGACGCGCTTCGGAGCCAGCCTGCCGGCCAGGGCGTCGCCGGCGTGGCCGCGTCGACGGGGAGGTGCCGTTGGTCGCGGTGACGCGGGCGAATCCTGTAAACGAGTGCCTCGTTGGCGGAGGCGCGGAGGCGCGGGGGCAGCTGCACACTGACCTGCAGCGCCTGGAGCCGGGTCGTGAGCGCGGCCACACGGCCATCCCGGCCATCTGGGCCATCTGGCACCGGAGCCCGCGGAGCCCCATTGGGGCGACCGTTCCGGTCCGACGCCCGTGCAGGCGCCGCGACGCCCCGGGACGACCCCGCGGACCCTGCGGCTGGGCCGGGCACCGCACTGCCTGCCGCACGACACAGCTACTCCACGCTTGCGACTCCACGCCGCCACTCCGCACTCCACGCTCGCTACTCCCAGGCGGCGATACTCGCCATTCATGTAATTGGCTTTTAGTGTTGCCAGATAGTCGATCATGCGGTCTCTCTTGCTATCGGCGGTAGTGGTGCTGCCGCCATGCAGGCCGTGCAGGCCCCGTGGTGCGCACCGTTGCACCAGCCGGCCGGGGCGGGGCGGGGCGCCCGCAGTTCAGCAAAGAAATGTCCGGTCCACACTCCGCGCCCGAGAGACTTCCAGTGGTAACCTCCCAGCCGGGTGTCGACCGGGCAGTGTTTGGAGCGGTCCAGGGCGATGGGCGTGCCCGAGGCGCGGCTCGGCCGGCAGGGCACGGCGCGGGCACAGCGGATGTGTGCGAAGTAGAACATGAAGTGCATATTTATTTTGGACGTGCCGCGGCGGTGGCCGTCGGCATGACAGCGCGGGGAGCGCGTCTCTCTCGGGCCTGGCGCGCCATGGCGGGGCCGTCCCTAAGCCCTGCCCCGTCGACGACTTGCCTCGATAAGAAAGGGCACTCTGGCGCTGAAGTTTAGCACCACGTGATTTGCAGACGGCCCCCAAGGACTAGGCGCCTCTTCGGAGGATCCACCCGGAGTTTGGGGCTTTAGCCACCCAATGCAGGGATCGGCCACCACAGGAGATAGCATCTCGATCGGGGTTTTAATTAATAATCGATTGATAATGGGAGTGCACTTGGAGCCTTGTCGCCCTAACCGGTCCATAAATTCGGTGCGCCCGTTATACCGCGCGGCTGTTTTATGTGAGCTTGTGTTGTTGTTGTTTTTAGTTTTGTAATTGTTGTTGTTGTTGGCTGGGGGGCTAGTAGTGTGGAAGCTCGTTAGTTGCCGTTACATCAATTACGGGCCAGAGCGCGATCCCCAACTTTTATTGTTTTATAATTATTCGTGTTGTTGTTGCTGCGGTGGCGGTGGCGGCGTGCGCGATCGTCTGGCGCAACTGCAGCAACTGCAGCAACTGCAGCAACTGCAGCAACTGCAGCAGCGCGTTCAAGGACGGGTCTGACCTCTGTGCACGCACACGGACGCACGCACGCACACACACACGCACACGCGCGCGCGCGCGCGCTCAACGATTTCGCTTCCTTTTCGTCGGCTCAGAATGTGGCAATAACCTTGCGGTGATGGCGATTGCGGTAATTGGCTAATTGGGCTGACAGCTGGATGCGCCTTATCACAGTTCAGTGCCCCGAGCCGAGCCGAGCCGAGCCGAGCCGAGCCGAGCGCTTGCTCACTGCACGAAAGCACTCGGCCTCTTTCGGCAGAAAATGTGCCGGGCGGAAGCACGCCGCGAGCGAACGCCGCGACGGCGTGGCCACCGGGAATTCGGGACGACAAGAGGACCGCTCGCTCGGCCACTCTCGAAACAATAAAGACATTTTGCGCGTAGAAAGGACACAGCCAGCAGCGGCGTTGCGTATTGGACGAGCCCTTTCAAGGCACCTACCTGCACGCAGGAAAAGGCCTTTTACAATCGCGAGAGAAAGACCGACTGACCGGGCAGGGCCAAGGCAGGGCGCCGCCGCCGTTTTAACGCCCCGCTCTCTCCCCTCTCCCCCCCTCTCTATCTGCAGGGCCGGGCCCTGTCCCTTGAATGGCACGGCAACTTAATAAAGCAATATGTAGGAGAAAGCAAAGGAGTCGCAGGGATCGGTGCGTGCACGGCCGCGCAGTGGAAAAACGGCAACTTGAAAAAAATCAGTGCTGCACTGGAATTTGAAGGCAGCAGGCACTCGGTATTTTTCAGTGCTGGAACATGGCAACCGCGCCGCCGTTTTAAGCAGTGTGTGGCGATGTTTGGCAGTCTAGGTGAGGGCAGGCAGGAAGTGGAGGTGCGCTTCAATTTGTGCCTCCATTTATACAATCTAGAGGCGGTCTGGTCGCCGTGGCGGTCGCCGCTCCGCCGCTCCAGTGGGCATGGGACATAGGTCTGCACTCGCCGTGCACGACAGCGGGGCTGCGGCTCGCTTCCGAACGTCGTCGTTCTGTCTCTCTCGCACCCGCGGGGGAGTCCCGCCAGGGTGCGAGAGAGACGGCGCGACGACGAAAGCCGCGAGGCTCGCCGAGGTGTGCGACACGTGTCCCACAAGTGCGTCGCAGTGGTGACAGCGCGCTTTTTACTTTTTGTAATGGATAATGCGTATGCGGTGGAAAGAAAGCGCATTTACATATTGGCGGCGAGTGGGCCTGCGTGTGTGTGAGTGTGTCTCCCCGTGTGTGTGTGTGAGTGGCGCTTGTCATCGACGTCGTCACCTCGCCGTCGCTACTGCACTGCGCGCACACACACTAGGAGCACTTTTGCACATCGCGGAGCTCTTCTCCGTCTCTTTCTAGTCCGTCTCTCTGCGGTTGGGCCGTCCTGATGAGGGCGATCGGGAAAGCACGGTAGAAAGGGCATTATTCAGGCCGCCATATGGTGGAGTCGTCAATCAGTACTCGTGTGTGTGTGTGTGTGTGTGTGTGTTTTCTGCCGGGAACCGCAGCCGTTAAATTAACGACTCACTCGCGATATAACGCTGATTGATCGCTGCGGGTCTCGGCCGAGTCTCGGACCTACAATGTTGTTTTGACGCGCCCGTCGCCTCCCTGTTGCAGCACGCCAACGCGGTGCGGCAGTCCGCCCTGGACTACGTCTCGCGGCGCCAGGCCCGGGGGCGGCCCCTCACGGCCTCGGCCTCCACGTCGGGCTCGGGGCTCGCCCTGGCCCTGGCGCTCAGCCTGCGCGGCGACGTGCGCTTCCTGGCCGCCGCCAAGCCGGGCACCTTCTTCGCCAGGGACAACGTGAGCAACTTCATCGCGTGGTGCCGCAAGGACCTGGGCGTGTTCGAGTGCCTGCTCTTCGAGACCGAGGACCTGATCGCGCGCAAGAACGAGAAGCACGTCATCCTGTGCCTGCTCGAGGTGGCGCGAAGGTTAGTGCTGCGCTTGCTCATGTTGACCACCTGTGTATTGTCTCAAAGTTGATCAAAACGGTCACAAATGTCTGTGAAAAATCGTGTTTTGGGCCGACTTTAAGCTGCCACTGCGTCTGATCCGAGGTGGTATCTCACCCTCCCTCAACGGGCAATTGGTCTTTGGACCTTCCTTTAGCATTTCTTTGTTACGGAGTGTGATTATCTGCTTTAGTTTGGGAGCAGTATTGCCGCAAAGTTGATGAAAACGGTCACGGTCTTTGAAAAATCGTGTTTTGGGCCGACTTTAAGCAGCCACTGCGTCTGATCCGAGGCGGTATCTCGCCCTCCCTCAACGGGCAATTGGTCTTTGGACCTTCCTTTAGCATGCCTTTGTTACGGAGTGCGATTATCTGCCTTAGTTTGGGAGCAGTATTGCCTCAAAGTTGATCAAAACGGTCACAAATGTCTTTGAAAAATCGTGTGCCCATTGTGCCTCCACTGAAAACCGACCGGCTTTGCAGGGGGGCCAGGATGGGCATGCTGGCGCCCATGCTGGTGCAGCTGGAGCGAGAGATCGATCGCGAGATCGCCCTGGAGGAGCGCGCCCAGCAGCGCACCGACCTGCGCGTCGAGGACATGGGCGGCCTGGCCGACGAGGAGGACAGCGACGACGACATGGACACCCGCTTCCTGGGCCCCATGCCGCAGATCATCACCAACGACCTCAAGAGCCTCGACGAGATGGTGAGTCCACCTTTTGGCGCGTGCGTGCGCGTGTTCGGCACGCTCTGCATCGCATCCTGTCGGCGTCCTCACCGTCACATCCTGTCTCGTTTTACAGCGCGTTCTAACCGCGTTTTTTCTTTTTACGATGCCGGTCGCGGCTGCCAAGGTGGACGAGTGTGCACTGTTAGGACGTGTGTGCTTCGAATGCCCGTGCTGGGCGAGCGTGCGCGCGCGCTGTGTGTCGGTGTGGATGTTGTAATACGTGGCGTTTGCGTGCACGCGAGCGCATTCGGCACGTGTAGTGGTGCAAAGGTCCCATCGCCTCGCATCACACCGTGGCGTCTCTGCCGCCGCTTCTCCGATGCCACTAATTCGTGCGTAACGAGACCCACTTGAACACACACACACTCACTCACACACACACGCACACATGCATTACGCACGCATTCCAGCCGCCCATGCAGATGCGCGTGCAGGTGTGTGTGTGTGTGTGTGTGTGCAGGCGCGACCAGAGCATCCAAGGTAATTATTTTAATCTGATGCGACATCTTATGGCATGGCGCATGCCTCGCGCACCGTCGTCTTCGTCTTCTCGACGCACTGCGACGCCGTAACTGCAAAATTCTGTGGCGTCCACATCGACCAGCCCGGACTGCCGCGCCCATTTGCAAGTCTAAGACCTCCGCTCCGCCCTCCGCGAGGCGGTACCGCGTGCACCGCCGTCCCAAAGACTTTCGGAGTCATTGGCGCCAGAAACGCGCCCAGATCGCCGCGTCGCCGCGCGTGTCGTGCCTTTTCTGATCTCTCTGTGAGTGTGTGTGCGTGCGTGGTGCGAATAACGGCATCCGTCGGGTCGCCAGGCTGACCTGCAAATAACATTAGCGTCGTCTTGTCGTCGCGGATAGTGGCCGCTGGATCGTGCAAATAATGCGACGACGCCGTGGTGGCGGCGGCGGTGCAGAGCAATGCAAGAGAGGCCAGCCAGCCATGCCGAACGCAGCTCTGCCTCTCTCGCCGTCGCGGGGCGCCCCGTGGGTGCGAGAGAGACCGCCGCGAACGCGGTGTTCGGAATCGCAGTGCAGGGCGCCGCCGTGACGGCCGCATCAGATGCGGCGCCGCTGCAGCGCTACAGTGCAGCAGTGTTACAGTGTTACTGCAACGGCCGACTGCAGTCTGGAGCGGACTGGGTGGCGTTCCGGACGCCTCGTATCGTAACCTGAACACACGACGGATTCGACGAGTCTCGACCGCCGCGCCCCGCCCCGCCCCGCCCCGCCCCGCCCCGCCCCGCCCCGCCCCGCCCCGCCGCGCCCGGAGCGCTACGATGCCTCACATCGATTCGATTGTCTGCACGACGCGACGCCCCAGTGCCCCGAGTCGCGTTCGACTCTTGGCCACAGATGAAGCCTCTTTTCGTTTTATTTTTGCCAAGTCGGCTCTGCCGGCGACGTGGCCGGCGCCGCGCTGACACCCCGGAGCATCCCGATGAGTGAGGCAAGCCAATTGTTTCTGCGACGGCCTGCAGTGTGCCTGCCGTGCCTGCAGTCTTGCAGTGCCTCACCGCGGCGGGCGGCCGCAAGGCTCTGTCCGCGGGCCGATGCCGAAGCGCGCGCCGTCTCTCTGTCTCTCTCGCACTCGCGGGGAGGGGCGGCCGAGTCGGAGCGCCCGTTCGGAAGCAGCCCGCTGGGAACACAATACGTTACACTGTGACAGGGTCGTGACTCGAGGGCTCGCGCTCATAATTCAACGCGTTGACGCAATATTTGTGCCATTTGAGTTGAGTCGATCGGGCTGAGCGTGGCGCGGCGTGGCGGGGCCGTGTGCCTGGCGGACCGCGAGCCGCACCGCCGCGCTCCGTCGGATGGGAATCTGTCACGGTGTCGTAATTAGTGTGCGAGCAAGAGCGCCGCGGGCCGGACTCGAACCCGCGACCTTTCTCTCGGCGCGCGCCATTCAATCGGAGGCGGCAGGCGCACTCCATCTTTGATCGGGCCGCCGCCGGTTGCGATTGTTTCAAAAACGGCTGGAATGGTTGTGCTGGCGGCGCGGCGGGCCGCCGTGGCGGCAGGCAACCCGGCCGCAGGCATGCCCGCCGGCTGCCTGCGCTGCAGGGGCTCTGCGCGGCCGACCCGGCTGGACGGGGTGCCACAATCCTGGACACTTTTCAAGCGCTTGGGGCGTGGATTGCTCTTCGAACAACGGGCAATCGATTTGTCTGAGGCTCTAGGGCCGTGTGATGTCCGCCTGTTCCACCCAAAGCAGGCTCCCTCGGCACACTGTCTCTGCGGCGCGAAAACTTTCGCAGCGTGCAGAGAGGTGTGTCCGTAGATTGAATTAATTATTTCCAGTGCGCCGTTTCGTTTACCTTAATTTGCACTCAGCGGGCTGTAGGTCTGGAGGCTTGCCTGGAGGGTGGTGGCGCCGCCCGGGCCGCCCCAAGTTTTAATAATTGGCCGTGCAGGCGGACAGGGGGCCATGATAAAGGCTTGGCATTTCCGCCGCCCCCTCCCCCTCCCCGGAGGAGCGAGCAGACTTTGTAGCGCCCCCTCCCCCCGCGGTGGCCGCCGTCACGTCGCCGCCGAAAGAATAAGTCTCCGGCCTTTTCCGGGCCGCTTGTTTTCGGTGCGCCTTTTCCGCGGCGCTCTCTGCCTTTCGGTCCTCGGCGGCCTTTGGGTCTAGTCTGCCTTCGGGGCGCCGTCGCGGCGCGTCGTCTGCCCGCAGAGTCGCTGCCCGGGGAATGCGGGGTGGGGGGCGGGTGGTCCGCGGGGGTCGTGCGGGGACCGGACGGCGCGAGTAGCGTGGACGGCGAGGGGGAAGGGGTCCCTCGCGGCGAAGGTACGTTGAGCCGCAGCGGTCCGCGCCACCCTACTTCCGACGGCGCCCCCCCCCCCCCCTACCCCCGGCTGACGGGAGTTCTTAAGTAGTCCCGGTGCATAATTCGTCTACATTGGCGGCGTCGCGGCCCGGCCCGGCTCGGCGGGGAGCTCGAGGGAAATGGCACTGCACCGACACCGCCACCACGCCTTAATCTTCCCCCGCTCGGCTCGGCTCGGCCCGGCTCGGCTCCGCGGGGCGCGGCTGGGCCCTGGACGGCGCCGCGGCGGCGGCACTGGCACTGGCGGCAGCCCCGCCCGGATGGCGCCGAGCTATTTTCGAGCAGGCACGGCGCTGCGGACGCCGCGACTGGTGCATCGTGATGACGGTCTTCGCCGCCACGGCATGACACCCCGTCGGCCGCCTCGCCTACCTCGCCGTCGGCCCCGCGGCGCGACCCTCGTCCTCCACTGCGCCCTCCGCGACGGGCAGCGCCGTGCTGCAATTCAACTCCACCGCTTATCGGGCGGCAGACTGATGGCCCGGCACCCCGTCTTCCTCCTGGACTCCCTCGCCTCGTCGAGGAGGTTGGTTGGGGTCGCGTGCGCCCGAGTGCGCCGCCCCTCACTCCGTATCACCCCCACCCCCTGCCGCCCCCTCCGCCCCCGGCGGCGAATGCAGTGACGAAGGGAGCAGATAACGCCGGCGCCGAGCCACCCCGCGCCGCCCCCCACCCACCGACTCCGGGCGGGCCATCCTACACCACCGCGGCCGAGGCCCTGCTACACCATCGCCTCCCGCGGCGGGCAGTCAGAATCCGCACCGCCGCACTGTGTGTGTGTGTGTGTGTGTTGCACGCGGTAAAACTCAAACGCGGGCCGCGACAGGGCCGATTGGAGCGAAGGAGCCGCGGCGCAGCGCGCGCCGCTTGACCGAACGTGAGCAAATTGAGTCCATGACAAGCAGCGCCATTCAATGGGAGGGAAAGAGGGGGGGGGGGGGTAAGGCCACTCTGTGTAATTGCCCGAGCCTTGTTCGTCCTGCCTCAACTCAGCTTGCATTGCCCTGGTTGTGCGGACGTGTCCAGTGTGTGTGTCTGTGTGTGTGTGTGTGCACTCACCGCAAACCCAATGCAGCCGCAAACGCCCCGCGTGCGCTCACCCACCCACATCGCGGGCTAGCCTTAAGCCTCACATTTGCCCGGTCATTTTCGTGTCTTTTCAGACGATGACGAAATCCGGGCCGCCACAGCAGTGCATTGATGTTTGTGTGAGTGTGTATTCGTGTGTGTTTGTGTGTGTGTGCCCCCCCCCCACACACACAAACACACATGCTCGCACACGACGTCGGGCAGTAGAGGGCAGCATCGCCGTCGTGCGCCCCCCAGCTTGCCCCACGACACTGCCCCGACAGTCCAGCACGGCGCGCCGGGGCGCGGACAGGCCGGGATGGGCCCCCCTGGGAGACTGCACGGCACGGGGGCACGTAGCCCCGTCGACCCCCATGCCGCGGCGTGGCGGGGCGCGGCGGGGCGTGGCACGAACTGCACCGCCTTGCCCTGCCCAACCACAGTACCAACCCGCGCGCATTCACTCGGCGAAGTGGCTCAGCGAGGCGCGTCATTGTGTGTGCTTTGCTGCTGTCATGTGAGTGAGTGTGTGTGAGTGTGTGTGTGTGTGCGTCTTTATGCTGGAAAGACCCCTACTCGAGAGCGTGGGCCGCGTGCTAATATTAGCGAAAAAATATATGACGCGTTGCAGAAATATTTACCCTTTATAAACCCCGGGCAGAAAGGCAGGGTGGGTGGGAAGCGAGCGCGGACAAAAGACGTCTGATGATGCGTGCGATGATCGCGCGCCTGTGTGTGTGTGTGTTGTTTTTCTCGTGTGCGTGTGTGTGTGTCACGCGCGCGGTGCGCGTCGTCTGCTTTCATTCCTGTCCCCTCGGCTCCCTCATCACAGCCGTGTTCTCGGCGTTCGCGGCGTTCGCGGGGTTTGGGGGCGTGTCTCTCTTCGCGTGGCCATTTATAAATAGGCAAAGCGCCCGGCCACAAACACGTGTGTGTGTGTTGTCTGCGCGACACGTGTGGCACGCGGCGACGCCGCGGATTCACGCGCCCTTTGGGCCTCTCTCTCTCTCTCCGTTCAGGCGGACACAGCTCTGGGTCCATTTTGAGCGGAATACAGTCCTCGATCCTGAAATAG